AACACTGCTGGTGTCTTATTAAGTCTCTCTCTCTCTCTCTCTATATATATATATATATATATAATAAACAGTAAAATCCAAAATCATCTCATATGGGGAATAGCCTATTTCAGCAGATGAAAATATCAGTCATCTGTCTTATCAACCCCAGTGTGCAGGTTTTGAATTGAGTTTGTTATGAACTGTAAATAAATCTAATTTAAAAAAAATTGGATGACAGATATTTTTTATCAACCTCGAGGAAACCAAAATTTTCTTTCACCCTTTAAACCCTGACCCCCTCCATGAGTACAGTATATTCACTTAGTTGTTGTTCTCCTAGACCAGTTGCCATCCAAGGCTATAGAACCCAATCTGTCCTTCTAGTTACCCATAGATGGAGGGAAAAGAAGAGGATTCATACTTTTCCCAAGGGTATTTGCACATAAGTGAATGTAATTCAAATTCAGCTCTCTGATTCTTCAATCTGAACCTTTATCCATTACTAGTTAAAATCTGTATTTGAGTTGGACACTTTTTTCTTTTAAGCAGTGTTTATTTTGTCTACTGGCTAGTGTATTCAAGAAAACTTATTGAAGAAATTTGTGAATTCTTTAGAATGAGAGAATGTAATGGATTTGACTGGAATTCAAACTCAGCTCTCCGATTCTTCAATTTGAGCCACTATTGATTATTAGTTGGCACCTCTATTTGAGTCAGACTCACAGGTTTTTTTTTTTTTTTTTTTTTTTTTTTTTAATCGTCTTTATTTTGTCTACTGGCCAGTGTATTCAAAAACTTATTAAAGAAATTTGTTAATTCTTTAGAAATTCAAGAAAAATCTGAATAACATGTTACTTTAAGGCAAATAGAATCGTGCCTGTCTGTGACTCACTACAACATTATAATTATAGTTAGGATATAAAGTGTCAGTTTAAACTGACAACAGCAGGATCTATTCTCTTCAAAGTTGAAGCATATTTGTATATTTAAATAAGGTGTAAATAAAATAAAATGTATTATTGTTGTGGTAAGAGCTAGTTACTCTCCTTACTATCATGAATAGACTGATCCATTCATGATAAGTAGTCCTGGGTAATTGTCTAGAATGGAAAAAGAAGATAATACAATTGCAGTGACTTGTTTAGTTGAGTATTGAATATTGCTATCACTACTGACTCTGTCAAGTGTTGTCTTGCCAGACCCCACATCACAACGCTTATTAAGAGTTAAGTCAAAAAGACATTTGAGTCTGAGATTAAAAAAATAGAATTATAAACTTGTGAGTCTCAAGAAAAAAAATGAAAATAAAATATATAAGCAAAATTAAAAAGAATTCAAATTAAAATAAGGCTGTCGGAGTTAACTCCTCCTTTAGTTCGTTAACCCTTTTACCAGGGGTCTCTCTTCCCTGGCTATAAATAGTCACTGACCCTTCGCCTCTTCCTCTTTTTCCCTCAGGCCTTTGCGCCAACACCTGGAGGTAAATCTCTCTTTTTCTTCAGGCTTTCAGCCTTATTACCTCGAAGATGTGAATGCTCACAGAGATAACGTTTCCCAAAATGCTGGAAACATGCTAAGCACAATACACACACACACACACATATATATAATATTCACACACACACACTTTGTCCTTTGTAACTGTTTCCATGTAACTTGTTATTAATATATATATTTGTATACATATATTATCGGTCTTGTGTTTCTTTTTCTTTGCCTTCTTCTTTGGACTTAATTAAAACTCCAACTTTCTCATGTAGTTGGGCCAGCTAGCAGGGAAATCTGAACCCACATGTGTTTCTTCTACTTCTACTCAACAACATCACAGCCACGGTCCACTACAAGGCTTTTTCTTTCTACTAAAACCCTTATCTTTTCCATTCTATATACTTCTATCTCTCTCTCTCGGCTAACAAGAAGCAACCCTCAAATAAAGAGGAGGAAGAAGGAATGACTGAACTCAGCTGAAAAAAAAAACCCTTCAAATATGAATTCAAACTTTTGTATGTTCTTGCTCATGCAAGATATTGCTAATGTAATGTCTAATTTTCTCCATGTTTTTTTAATATCTATTGCAAATTGGAGATATCAAAATCAAACAAATACAACAATTTAAATATCTAGGAAGGCTTTTTAACAGAGGACAGAAAGTACAACACTGAAATTTGTAAGTGCTTTGGGATAACAAATATTGCCTTGCAAAAGCTAAGCAAAATTTTAAGAAACTGGAAAATTAGAAATAAAGAAAAGGGAACTAAATTGTTAGGTAATATCAGTCCTCCTCTATAGCAGTGAATGCTGAACAATCTTATCAAAGATGAAAAAGAGATTTGACACAACAGAAATGTGGTTCTAAATAAGGATGCTGAGAATACCATGAACCATATGAGCAACAATAGTTTTAGAGAAAATGAATACAAAAAGGACATTTATATATAGAATCAGGAAGAGGCAGTTGAAATTTCTAGGGCACATAACGAGGAAAGAGGGCTTGGAAAATTTGATACTCACATGATAGATTGAAGGCAAGAGGAACAGGAAAACAATACATGACCTATCTAGGGAGTTTACGTGCATAGATGGTGGAACAAGATTTATGAGATATAACGAAAAAACAAAATTATTAAGAGCTACAAAGAACAGGAAATTGTGAAGAGCCACAATTGCCAATGCTCTGAAAGGACATGGTACAAAGAAGAAGAATATTTTTAATGTGTCAAGTCTCTTTTTTTTTTTTTGTTAGCACAATGAGTTTATTATGAATTGTAAATAAATCTAATTTTAAAGAAGTTGGCTGACAGATATTTTTTTATCAACCTAGAGGTAACCAAAATTTTCTTTGCCTCTTTCAACCCTGACCCCTTCATGAGTATGGTATATGGACTTTCACACAGTAGCAGATATACCAGCTGCTCAGGTACATTCAAAAGGTTAAGATTACAAATAAAAGTAAAATAAAATTTTTCATGATTTTTGTTATATATATAAAACTTATTTTAGGATATTTCTGTTATACTGGAACACACCTATTCTATAGTTAATAGACTCTCCTACCTATAATAAGTAGTAGTAGTAGTAATAGTCGCACAGTTGCACAGTGAGTTGCTCAGTCAGTCGATGTCGGACATTAAAGTATCAGCCACCACAACTAGATTGCTGTGTCATTAACTATTATATCAAGTTCCTAACGTTTTGTACGTCGAACCTTTTTAGGACCGACTTAGTGAAATACAAGCCTCCACTGTGAAACTACTCTATAACAATTTCACTGAAAACATGTCAAAATCACAACACAATTTTATTTAAATAAATCGTTCACTCGCCAGTAATTTGCAATCACCTGATGAGATGCATTGATACACATTGAAATATGACTGCAACTGTGTAGCGATCCTGACATATTTTCAGTGTGATATCCTAAAGTAAATAATATTATACTACTTTGTATTGAGTCCTTTTTTAAATTAAATGTTACAAATGTTGGAATTGTAATCTGTTTATTCTTATCTTACCTGGATACTTATATATATATATTCTTAATAGAAATATTATAAGTATAAGAAACTATACTCACTTGGAAAAGCTTCAGTATATTGATTTGAAAATAAACAAGCCAACACCAAAGGGAAAAAAGGTATAAAAAAAAAGTAAAAAAAAAAGAACATGTACGTTAACCGAAAAAAATCGTCCAGCATACAAGTTCAAGGCCCAAAGAAAAAAACCCCGATGTGAGTATCCAAAACAACTAAATAAAGTGCTCAATACAATGAGTAGAATACAGACCTATATTAAACCTAGAAGCCAGACAAACCTACCAAGGTTTCACCTAAGCGGATTGTCAGGGAAGGCTTCCCTGACAATCGCTTAGGTGAAACCTTGGTAGGTTTTTTTTTAGGTTTAAATATATATATATAAATATATATATATATATATATATGAGAAGGGGTGCTGATTAAACCAAAAGATTTCAGCATCTCCTTGTAATGTATCAATATATAAATGTTTAGAAAAATCTTATATAAGTTTACATCAATATTTGCAAACAACAAAACTTGTATAAAGAATTTTTTTTTTCCCTTTCTCCACATCTTGGGCATAAAAATTGTTATATTCTGTTTTCTCCAATCAATGTTCCATGTGAAAATGTTACCAATATTCTCAGGCAGTTCTTTCCTCATAAAACTATTTTTGCATTCAGCCTTTGTGCATTGAAAGGTTATGGTAACTTTCTTTGAAAAATTTTTGTCATTATCACTTTTGCTTTTTACAGAAATGGCCTTTTAATATTTTGCTTTGTATTTGTTAGCTTTCGTCGTTGTTAAAAATCATGTTTTTATGTTTTTAACCATTTTGTATGACACGGACACATTTACTGTCTAAAAAATTTAGCAAAGGTAAAATATCAGGATTAGACTCCTAGACAAGATAAGATATAACACAAAGCTATTTCAGTATCTGTCTATATTTCTGAGATGAGGTATTATGTACACTATTTACATTATTCAGACTATTGTCCTCATCTTTGTCACCATATTTATTACAATCTTTCAACCGTTGTATGCTCTGGCTTTCTTCAGTATCTGTCTATATTTCTGAGATGAGGTATTATGTACATTATTTACATTATTTGGACTATTGTCCCCATCTTTGTCACAACGTTTCGGCCGTTGTATGCTCTGGCTTTCTTCAGGTGGGTGGAATGTCGAACTGAATCCTTTATTTCACTCACTGGGGTAGACTGTTCTAGTTCCATGTGCCATGTTTAATGGATGTCAGTTATCAGTTATCTCCTGTTAATTTCTCACTGCAAGTTCTCCACTGCCTTAACCAGGTATTGAACTCACACTTTTTGGGTCCTGTCACTGGATCTAACCAAAGCCTTTATCCACTGTGCCATGTATTTTTGAGGAAACATTGTAATAAATATGGCGACAAAGATGAGGACAATAGTCCGAATAATCTAAAAAGCTATTTCATTTGTTGCTGAATCTATTTTAGGCTTATGGCTGACATTATGTTGAAATACTGGTTCCCGTATGATCACCAAAGATAAGCAATGTTGAGCCTGGTCAGTATTTAAATGGGTGATCACTTGGGAATGCCAGATGGTTTAAATTTGTTTGTGCAGGTGGGTAACAGCTCAGAATTATTAATCAAAGAGCAGTGTTCCAATTCCAGTTGAGTTCATTATATTTACTTACATTCAAGTACCCTTTGGAAAGGTATGAATCCACCTCTTCTCCCCTCAGCTATGGGTTAATTAGTAAGACTTGTATCACTAAATTATTACTATCTTGAAAAAATTTCTTACAATTTAAAAATATTTCCTGGCTTTAAATAACCTGCAAATCTAATTAAGAATCTATATTATGAAATACTGAGATGTTCTCCTCCAAAAATAGTTGTTTAGTCATTTGGTCACATTATGCTAGATGAGTCGGGCCAGGAAGATTACCAACTTTTTTCCTTTTTTTACTAAATGTTCACTAAGTACAAGGTGCAAGAGCCACTCAAGGTAGAGCATTACTAAGTGACGTTGTCTGGACATAAGAGGAGATTATGAAGATATGCAGGATAGATAGTGGTTGACCCTAAAGTTTAAGAGGTTAAAATAAAAGTGATCAAGGAAGTCTGTTTGACTAAATCATTGTTCTTGGAAAGGAGATGAGTATGATTCAACCCTGTGTAGATGGCATGGAAGATCCTGGCGGTAATGGTATGAACTTCAGGTAAGTCTGAGTCATACTCAACAGATCCCAGCTACTCTCTGTAGTCTGTTAACTTACAGATACTTATAGGTAGTTACTACCTATAGTGTCGAAAAAAAAATGAGGGTGACAGGTTATTCCATTGCATCAGTGAGTAATTACATAGGGTGGTCCGAAAGTCTTGTCACGCCCTACTAAAAAGTAATAAGAACAAGTAATACAGTAATAACAAAGCACATGTACTGGATTCAGTGTATTCACTCTCATTGACACTGTCACACATGGAGAAGGTCTGTATGAACAACATCATTATCATGTCAGTCATCTTAAATAGATAATTATATTACGAAGTGGGTGACAAGACTTTTGGACCACACTGTAGATTCAAAAATGAAATTATGAAACATTCTTATAGGTAATTAGATGAAAGGATGATAAAAATGAGGTATCGGTTTTGTATTGTTCCTTAGTATTAAATACATCCCCCATTTCTTGGTAATAGTACAGCATGGTCTGAATGTCATGTCACCTCCTACTGAAAAGTGATGAGAACAGTAAGAACAAGTAATACACTAATACAAAGCACATGTACTGAATTCAGTTTATTCACTTTCATTGATGCTGTCACACATCAAGAAAGTCTGTATGAATGCCATCATTATTGTGGCACAAAATAAAGAGGGAACCAATGCCCTGGATATGATGATAAACTACATCTGCGTCCTGGTTATGGCGATAAACTACATCCAACAGCAAGGCCTCAGATAATGTTTTCGGAAAAATAATGTTGCCAGCTATACGTTTTTGAAACAATGTTGCCAGCTGTACATTTTTGAAACAATAATGTTGCCAGCTGTACATTTTTGAAACAATAATGTTGCCAGCTATACGTTTTTTATTCCATACAAAATAGGCATTTAAAATTCATATAAACTGGATTTGGCATTAAATAACCCACAGTGGTTGATATGCCATAAAACCCAAACAAACAAAAGAGGGATCCAACGTCCTGTTTGATATTTTACAAAGCTGTGCTTTGTTGATTGTTGCAAAGACTCTCCAAATGCCGTCTTTCAACTGATAGGGATTCTGGTATAATCATGTGAAACTCTCACCTTGACAATACCCCACAGAGCGTTGAAACAGAAAATTATATTATGTATGGGTGACAGGATTTTCGGACCACCCTGTAGTGTCAAAACAATAATTATAACAATTATAATTATTGACATCATATTTGACATCATATGACATCATATTTTTGTTACATCAGAGCTCTCAAGAAAACTAAATTTTGGCATTAAATGACCCATGAGGAGTTGATATGCCGTTAAACAAACAAACAATAAAAATATGTGATCATTCTTTCCAATGGTCACAAGATGCAGCCTATAACTTTTTTTTGTATTATCCTCAGCTCTCTCAATTGAAATGAGGTTCCTTTGGCATCGATCATTGCTAATGGATGGTTTCTGTTGATTTCAATAAGGTTTTTGCATTTCTGAACATCTATTTTCAACCACCAATGTCTAAGTTAATGACACAAGGTCAATGACTTCTTTTTCTATTTTCAAAAGAGTAGGCAGATATTCTAGTGAATCCATTCTTCCTTCAATCCTGTTGAGTTTCTTGGTACCTATTACACAAAAGCAGCTCCACTTTTAAGATGGTATTTTAAAATCATTCACCGTTTTTGTTTCTGCAAATGTAATATTGCTGGTTATGTTCTAAAATTTGCATCTCCTGACCAAATAACTGTATTTCAGTAATCATTCAACTGATTCATGAGAATTTTGGGGAAAGATAAAAAAGCTTTATGGGTTTTCTTTAGATGTGGTTGTATTTTTGCCAGCTATTTAGGAAATTCTCTTGTAAAGAAGGAAATGATGACTTACCATGTCAGTTAAAATATTTTTGTGTCCCATGGTTTTATTTCATTAAATAGCCTAACCTATTCAAATCTAGGAATCATTATCTTCCCCACATATCCACATAAGCTGTTTCTCTTACTCTGTAACCCTCAACCTTGGGTGGTTCTCGAGCCTTATACAGGGTGAACACCACTGTAAAAATAAAAAAAAGAGTCTTTCCACTAGACATGTCCAGTTTAATAGAAAACATTCAAATTTAGTCCTAGTCAGTTGTGTCACAAATCAAGTGGACTGTCTTAGAACTATTCTTTATCCCAAGGCAGTTGTGAGTTTTTTTCATATAACTGTGACTTAATTAAGCCCACTGCCCAGATTTTTGAGACCTTCTGTTTGCTTGTTACACCTCCTCAGTTCAACATTCCATCCATGTAGTTGAGACATGTACATCTGTTCATTGATGTGTGTATAGGATAATGTTTATCCAAGCAGAAAATAGGATTGGCATTACAAGTTTAAATTCTGGCTGTAGTCACTGCATTCACTTCCACACAATTACTCTTGAGATAGCTATGTATCTGTTTCTTCTCTTATCACCCAGCTCTGGGACAAATAGCAAAGAAGACTGGCTTTTCCAGCCTTGATTGGTAATCAAAGTAACTGAATTCAGAACCAGTTGGACAGAGGGCTGGCAACTCAATCCATAAAAATTCACCTTGCAATAGAAACAACAGTAGCAGCACTAGCATGGTGAGGCTATGAACTTATACTCTACATGAATGGAGAAAAAATTCTCTCTCTCTCTTCTGACATGGTAAAAAAAAGGTACCAGCTATGAAAGCTCATTTGAATATATCCAGATCCAGGGCCTTCTCCCTCTTTGGAGGGACTTCACCCTGATTGACTATGTCTTCAAAGGTGTAGCCATACTCATCATGCTTGGCCAACTGTGTACAACTGTATTTGTCTCATCATCACTTTAGTTAAATTGTTTAATAATACAGTCTTATGACTAATAATTTTATATATTTTATTGTAAGTGTTTCAGTTACTGGTGTTAATCCAGTATCTATAGGTAAAATTTAAATTAGAGCTCAAAGTCTTCATTTTTTTTTTTTTTTTCACCCAAAACTTTTTTTTTTTGCACACATATATATCTATTTTTACCTATAATATAAACCAGGGTGATATGGATCAGTGGTATAAACATTTGTATGACAATGGTATAAAACTATAACTGATGACTGAAAAAGATTGCATCATAAAACACTTATTCACCTAGACTTCAAAATCATTACAATATCTTTGTCTATAGTTTTGATTTACTTGGATTGATTGATTTGTTTTTTATGGCTTATCAACCCTTTGTGGGTTATTTAAATTTTCGAAACATACCAAGGATTGTAAGAATAATTTATTTTTGTTTTTGTGAATATTGTATTAACAATTTTTCTTTTTGAAATACCAATGATTTTTCCAGGTAAAAGTCTTACTATTTAACCCATAGCTTGGGGATGGATTCATACCTTTCCCAGAGTTATTTTGTATAAGTAAATGCAACAAACCTGACTGGAATCCAAGCTTGGCTGTCTGATTTCTTATTCAATTTTTATCCATTAACACACACACATTTTGATATACTTGGAAAAAAACGCATGTGACATAAGGTTACATTTAGTGGAATGCTATGGAAAGAAGAAAATGAATAGTTGTTCTAGAAAAGAGAGCCTAGGTTCTATTGCAGGTTTCAGAATGGTGATGCTTATTGCATGAACTATAATTATTTTCCAAATAAAAAAAGCTCTTAAATAAGAAAAAAAAACTGCAATATAGCATATTTGCATTTTATTTTAGATATTCAAGATGAGCCAAGCCAATTATTTCAATAATCTTTATTCTTAATCTTTCTTTTAATCTTAATTCTGCCTTTAAATCTTTATTGATTTCAACCCGCTACTTATATTTAATATTATCAGTTAGGATATTATTATGTTCGGCAGGATACATGTATAAACATTTGTATGACAATGGGGTAGATCTATAACTGATAACTAAGAATGATTACTTTGTAAAACCATTTACTCTTCTAGACTTCAAAGTGATTTCTACATTTTTTATTTATTAGCAATTTATTTATTAAATTCTTTCACTGTTGCTCATTGGATAAATGGATTTCATTAAATCAAATTTGTAATGATTAATCAGGAAATACACAGAAAATATTCTTTGGCTTAAGTACATTTGCATACAACTCTTTATATATATATATATATATACTAGCTGAATTACCTGGGCTTTGCTGCATGTTACACATTTAAGAAAATGACAATTGATGTTAAATCATTGTGATAATTTGTGGAGAAAAATGATGCATTTCAATATTGCTCAATGATCTTGCTGATGTGATCTCCATCTTCTGGCTTTCTCCTTCTATATTTTGGATAGGAGTCATTCTCTTATTTAAATTTAATTTAAATCAAAAGGAAAAATATTTTCAGTGGTGGGGGGTTTATGCAAAAATAGCTTGATTT